AGCTACACCTTTCTCCGGCACGTCCGGAAGCAACACACAAACCACTCGATTCCAACCCAGAGGCCACTTGAAGTCTTTTATTTGTTGGACAGGGAGCCTTATGATTATAGACGGAATGCCAATGTGTTGTAAATAGGGTTAATACCTTTCATTTATTTAATTGATCATTGTTCATTGATATAAGCCCATGGGCATTCACTGTATTTCATTTTTTGTATACGAGAGAAGATATTGTAATTTATTCATTTTTTATTATTTTCGCATATTCATCACTATTGAAATGGACTGGTTAGGTTATGGTAATGTTATTCAAGTAAAGGTGTTTGGTGGGCTTGGCAAAGAATACGAAGGGAAGAGAGTAGCAATTGAGGCATGATTCATGTTATTGAAATATACTTATTAGTTTAAATAAATTTAATATTATATTTCATTTGCATTTGGATTGTTACTATTAACTCATCTTTTTCTAATGCCATAATATGATGATTGATGAGATGCTGACCAAGAACGTGTGTATTTTTCCATGATTATCATTAAAAAGTAGTAATAAAAATTTTAAAATATTACAAAGAATGAAAATTTATTTTGAAATTCATTTTGAAAGTGGAATATAAAGTGTAGATTTTAAAGTAAGTGGGATATGGAGCATACATACAATGAATGTAATCCATTGATTTATTTTTTGGGTAAATTTTATGAATATGTAGGATTGTTGATAAAGATTAAAACTATTTAAAAATCAGTTTTGGTGTATTAAGTTTTTATTATACTTGTTCTTGTGGACTAGATAATAAGGGAAAACACTTTTTATTTTTGTAAAACGCATGGAAAACACATGTACAAAAAATCACATGATTATTTTTGTAATTGATTTAAATTCCTTTGGTGACACTGCTGAAAATTTTACATTTAGGGGTGTTTGCCGCTACAAGTGTGAAAAACGCCTCTAATTCTTTTTGCGACGTTTAGTATCAAACGTCGAAGACACGGCCGTCGCTATAGCATTATGACGCTTTAAAAATGTCATTAGATTAGTATAGGCGGCGTTATGTGGTACATAACGGTAAAATGACATCATCTAGTATTTAGCGACGCTTTGAAAACGCCATGATAGATTTTTTTCCTAATTTAAAAAATATGACCGTTAACACTGTAGTGGCATTTTGGAAAAACGCTGTTAATAGCTTCTTCTTCTTTTTTTTTTGTGAGATTGTGCTAATTCTGTTGGATTTAACTAAAAAACATAATTGTAATAAAGCTGAAAATTAGTAATAATATGGATAAAACTTTACTGCTATTTCAATATATTGACTAAAAACATTATATGATTATTTCTAAACCAAAAATCAAACAACAAACACAACCAAAAATAAAAAGTAAACAATATATCGAACTCCGTATGCAAGAGCGATCAGACTCGAGTTTGTGAAGTTCTCTCTGAACAGCAACACTAACTCTTCAGCCAATTCAAAACACTTGAAGGTCAGTAAAAAAAAAAATAAACAGTTAAAAAAAAAAAAACCTCTACCCTTAGTATCTATGTACATCCACTCAAGCTATAGAAATCAAAATTTAATACATGAACCTTGCTATTCTCCAAAACAAATTTGGATTTTGTTTGTGTCACCAAATCAAGTTTAGCTTTAGCAAAGTGTAACTTAGTCACTAGGTTCTTCACTGCATCATCCTGAAATTCCAAAGAGAAATGAAACACTGAAACTCCATAATAGCCAGAAGGATCATGAAATGATAGTCATTCAGTATAAAAGTAAACAATAATAGCCAAAATGAAAATAAAACAACACAATGCATCAAGCATTCGCATTCAATTTTTTGGCAAGCCAGTTTAGAGGGGAGTTATTCAACAACCTATTTTGCAATTAGACAAGGAAATAAGGTGTTAAATGGTGGGAGTGAAAGCACAAGAAGTTCACTTGACTTGTGAGCATAAATATTTTATTCGGCATGATAGAATGTGATTGCCAACCAGAGAAATGTGGTGTACAAAACAGCTACAGAAGGTAATTCACTACAGAGGTTAGAGTTTTGTTTTGTTTTGTTTTTTTTTTTTTTTTTTTACTACGGAGGTTAGAGTTACAACCACCAATCAACAAGAAGATTTATTCCTATCCCAGTAACAATGAAAATCCAGGTAAGTAATTCCTATAGATTTCTCCAGCACACAGAAAATACACATCTTACAAAGTCAAGGTCAAATTGTACCTCAAGATCAAGGCGCCAAGCTTGGTATGTCAAGTTTGAGGTGGAGTGTCCCATCATACCCTGCCACTCCATTTTCCTACCCTTGGTTTCAATAAGTTGCAATAGGTGTTCTAGATCTTTCTCTACCACAACATTCGTTACCTGTGAGGTTCTTGTGCTGGGCATGCTAAAAAAAGTAAGTCAAGATATGGTGACATGTCCAATAAGTTAAGGTTCAAAAGTTTATAAACATAACTAGTGGTAATCCAAAAAATAATAATATATATATATATATATATAATTTGCTTAGGACATAGCAATCCCCTGTTTCCTAATCTAAGTTAAGAAGGGTCCCAAAATGATAGGCTTAGGTAAATGTCTTCTACCGTGCATGCAGCAGCTTCTTACAAATATAGACAACCTCAATCTCCCTAAACCGCAAAGTCAATGTTAACTAGACTTCGTAAAGATTAAGTTAGGTGCCCCAGCCATCTCGCTACCTCGCCGGTGCAGATGGTGGTGGAGGTGGAGCTTTAAAATCGGTGAATCCGTGAGATTGTGAGATTCAAAATAAGGGTTTAGAGAGGATTGAGAGAGAGGCGACGTGAGGATTCATGTTTATGTTACTACAACGATATGAATTACATATAGCTACACAACGATATGAATTACATATAGCCACACAATCATAATGATGCTTGTCATTATAATAACTAGAAAACCATGGATGATCTGCTCTTATGTTCCAGTTCTGCATAGTTAGGTTTGTGTCATGCTCCACTACATAAATGATTGGGCATCAAATACAATCACTAATCAAAAGCATCAATTTTTACTAACGAAGAAAAAATAGAGGTGGAGAGGACTTTTACTGATAGATCTAAAGTTCAACTACATTTATGATTGCCCAACTAACATCGATTCGAGACCTAATGTCTCTAAAATTTTTCCATCTTATGGTCATCCACCTAGGATAATTAAAGAAAACAGTCATTATAGAAGTTCTAAATTAAGATGTACAAGTAATGAAATAGACTCCATTCAATTATGTTAAAACATAAATGGAAAATTCACCTCCAAATGCTATTCGAACAAATTTCAAAGGTCCTATTTCAATTGACTTTACAAATATTTCTCAAGCTCAATGAGAATAATTCCACTTCAAAGCATACCATCACAATCACAAAAATAAATATGAAGTAAACATACAGCTCATTTTCTAGACTGCAGAAGTTTACTAAATCTACTTTTCCCTTTGACAAAAACATTTTTCAGATGTGCGAAACTCATACATGTAACTCAAATCACGAGGAAAAGCTTAAGGCACATGTGTTTGGTTTCATTATTGACGGGACTCATATTAAGAATACATTTATATCTGAATAGCATGAACAAACACAGAATGTGGCGGTCTTGCGGAATCCTTTGAATACCATCAAGGAACTTAGATCGAGTACTTAATCATAATAAAACAAACAATTCTATTACATAGAATTTCATATTTCATTCATTTAAACTCTGTTAAATTTTGGAAGGTAACACAAAATTGGAATGGCTGAAAAGCTGTTTTTGACTTGAGAACCTTGTTTTCTCCTCATTGATAATAAAAATGCATTCACAGTATATTCAGCACAGTTTGGAGAATCATTTAGCTGAGCCAAATCCACAACACTGAAAAAGGAAGATCTTTTTATTAACTTATATGAAAAAAAGAAGCATAATACATCGGATCTCCATGACAGAGACATCCATCGTAAAATCAATTTTAGTTGAAGAAACAATAGAGTGGTATACATCAAGGTTTTCCATATCCCTGTAAGTAGGTCAAATCTTTATATTATCGGCTAACAAAGTCAAAAACTTTTCTACTCATTGAGAAACAACTCTATTCACAATTTTCCAGTTAGCTTATTAAATGAATGCATACATTAGTTGAGATTCATTCTGGTCAAAGCCGTGGCATTACAATGAAAGATAGAAAATAATAAGTGATCCATATATTAATAAATAAATAAATAATTTTTTAAAAAAGTGAATGCTATGAAGCCAGCGATAAACATGCAGGTGCAGTCCAAATTGAGAGACAATGACCTGCAACAGGTAAGAGGGATGGGGCATGTGTTCTTTCCCCATGTGCAACGAAACAGAATGCCATACCTGTTGTAAATATGCTCACCATTCAAAGCTTTAAGAGCCTGCGATGCAACCGAATTAATAATGACAAGGGAAATGAATTGAAGTTGAAAAATCATGGGCTAATAGAAAGATCAGATTCCTGTTTTCCCAACAATTTTAGGACCCATATATAATGTGTACTGCAATATATATGTTGATGCCATCTAAAGCCGCGGATCCATTTCTCTTCCCTTCCAGATAAACATAACATTATGTTTTTATTATGTAATAGTTTCCTATTTTCTTGGTTAAATACAAATTCACAAATATAATCATTTGTTTCTTTTTGTTTCTTTTGGTAACTGAACATAACCACTTAAAAAACAAAACAAAATCGCTTTTATGGAAGAGCTATAGCATACTACTCTGGTTAAACCTACTGTTTGCATCCCAAATCAAAAGCAACAACCCAAAAACAAAAACAAAAAAACAACACTAGCAACTGATGATGAATAATCCTATGTACAAACATGGAAATTCATAGATGACCTGGAAATCTGAAACACAGTGGCAGCAATAAATGTCAATCACTCCAGTTATCCTGATCCAGAGCAGAAGCCTTCCTTCTCTTGATCCATTCATCCTGCATGGTCACCCAAACAAAATAAGAAAATATTCACAGAGCAGAAGCCTAACAACCTGGTTAAAAAAAATTAAAAATCTCACTTCAATGAAAAACGAAAAATCAAATATCTCAAACGGAAAATCAACATTTGTCCTGTCAACAAATCCTTTCTAAACTATTTCAAAACACATTTCTCTGTACTTGCTAATACTAAATGGACTGTCAACAAATATAACTTTGTGTCAAAAACTAAAATAAAACACATTTTCCAACTGCTCAAAATAGTGTTGTGGCTTAAACATAAAAGATCAATGGCTCAAGTAAAAATACTTGTAGAAGGAAAGCATTAAAAACCCTTGGAATACAACCCTCTCTTTTTCAGGGGGTGAAGCAAAAGGCAATAAAAAAAAATTTTAACAAGGAAAACTCTCAACCAAACACACTGAGGAACAACAAGTTGTTGTCAAACTCAAATCACGAGGAAAAGCTTAAGGCACATGTGTTTGGTTTCATTATTGATGGGACTCGTATTAAGAATACATTTATATCTGAATAGCATGAACAAACACAGAATGTGGCGGTCTTGCGGAATCCTTTGAATACCATCAAGGAACTTAGATCGAGTACTTAATCATAATAAAACAAACAATTCTATTACATAGAATTTCATATTTCATTCATTTAAACTCTATTAAATTTTGGAAGGTAACACAAAATTGGAATGGCTGAAAAGCTGTTTTTGACTTGAGAACCTTGTTTTCTCCTCATTGATAATAAAAATGCATTCACAGTATATTCAGCACAGTTTGGAGAATCATTTAGCTGAGCCAAATCCACAACACTGAAAAATTAGGATTATGTGTCTGGTTTCTGTGTTTGTAAGTGAACTTATTTTATCAAGAAATCTTATCAAATCATTTGAATTTTGGGTTTAATTTCTGTATTTATACGCGGACTATATACCCACAAAGATCTAAATAAATTTGCAAGAATGATGTGCATTGAGGGATAATATTCAATTTGGATTAGCCATCTGTATGTTTAGAACTAAAAAGAGAAGAAAAGGATACTTGAAGCAATGTTGGTGGAGATCGAGTCGAATGGTCATCTTAGAAGGAGCCAATGAAGACCCTGTTCTTGAGATTTCTTTGCGTATGAACTCTGCTTGTTGCTTGTAACTTGAGAAATTTTCATCCTCTTCATTCACATACCTTGGACTTTGTGCTATTGGCAACCCATCACTCACCCTTCCAACTATTGTCATCTTCACCATCCTCAAAATCTTAATCAAATATATCAATCTGTCTCTGTCAAAGGTTTATAATTGTCAGATTTTAGGGGGGTTCGAAAAGTTTTGAGAATTGAAGAAAAGGCACTACTTTTGCAATAGATTTGTAGGCTAGAGAAGATGGTGAAAGCAAAGAACTTTATGAGGCTGAATACTAAGAGGAAGAGGAAAGGAGGGTTTTTGAGAGAACTTGGTGATGAAATTATTCCTTTGTGGTAAACTATAAGGAAAGAAAAAAAAAAAAAAAGGGAAAATTAGGAAAGAAAAAAATTATTTTGATTTGAATATTGTTATTGTGTAATTTTTAAATGGATAACTAAATCTTATTTCTTATAACTTATTTAAAAAAAAATTAATTCTTAGTCATAATATTATGTTAGGAAAAATTATATAAAAAAAAAATCTCTCAATTTGACTACTGTAATAAAATAAACATTAAAAAAAATCTCTTAATTTGACTACTGTAGCCAGCAAGGATTTGCATGAGCACATCACCTATCTTGGGAGGCTGGGTGGGTCTCTGGCTGGGCTGGAGGAGGGATATGTAATTTTACATGTTTAATATTCTAATCACCTATTAGAAAACACAACCTGCAATAAAGTAAGAGGGATGGACAAACTTGTGTAACACAAAACCAGTTCTTTTTCTCAAAAGAGTAAACAATCTTTTCAACAAACTCAAAGGAGTCCTTTTCATCTTCTTCTGCTGCAGAATATATATATATATATATATCTTAAAATCCTTTCTAAACCTCTGGCTGGGCTGGAGAAGGGATATGTAATTTTACATGTTTAATATTCTAATCACCTATTAGAAAACACAATCTGCAATAAAGTAAGAGGGATGGACAAACTTGTGTAACACAAAACCAGTTCTTTTTCTCAAAAGAGTAAACAATCTTTTCAACAAACTCAAAGGAGTCCTTTTCATCTTCTTCTGCTGCAGAATATATATATGTATATATATATCTTAAAATCCTTTCTAAACTATTTCAAAACACATTTCTCTGTACTTGCTAATACTAAATGGACTATCAACAAATATAACTCTGTGTCAAAAACTAAAGTAAAACACATTTTTCAACTGCTCAAAATAGTGTTGTGGCTTAAACATAAATCCAATCAAAACTAGAAGAGAGTAACAAATAGAATTTAGACCTGATATTTGCAGATCTGATCGAAGAGATAGCAGATTTGAGAATAAGATCTAGGTCTCTAGATCTTTAACTTTTACTTATGACCCATCTCGATTATATTAGCCGCTGCTTGTCTGGAGACACTGACACCGCACTCGAAACCCCAGACGAAGTACATCGCCATGAATGACAAGAGCTTTCCATTTATCCCATTGTATGGACTAGAAAGAGCAAGAGACCACAAATGAAGAGAAAGAACACAAAACAAAAGCAAAAATTCCAGAAATAAGCTAGATCGGGGGAAAAAATGCATATGAATTTCCAAACATCAACTTAAATATACTCCAAATCATTGTTTTAGCCATGAGATTTTACAGATCTTGAGTGAACTTAGCAAATCTAGATAAAAAAAACCCTTACCTTGAGCCCTAGATTGATTTAGATCAGAGGGATTCGAACAATCTCGAAGATAGCTTAATCAACCGAACTCATCAAAAATCATATGCATGAGAACAAGATTTTCCAGATCAAAATCATCAAAAATCGATGGAAATCAAAGAATCAGGCCTCAATCTCTCTTTCTCTCTCTCAAGTCGCGTCTCTGCTTAATCAATCGAAATCGAAATATCTCTAGATAGATTTGGATTTCCTGGTACAGATGCTTTTATAAAAAGAGGAGAAAAAAAAACTCTTATTTTAACCCACAAAACCGTGTCATTTTACACATACTCCGTTCCGTACGCAGTTCACCAGGAATTTAAAAGATTGGTTAACAGATTTAGCCACATTTACAAAAAATGCCACAAAAAAAATGTGGTTATATCTACTTTTTCCAGTAGTGTGACTTCTTGTTTCATGCTATAATTCTTCATAAGAACAATTGAAAATTCACTAGTTAAAACTTATTAAGGCATTTGCAAAGAGAGGAAAATTTATAAATTATAGTATATGAGCTAATTAAATGAAGCTCAGTATCTCAAGCAGATATATTAGAGTATTATGCAATATTATTTTCTTGATATTCCTAACTAGTGTAAAACCGTGACACACATTCAGTGAGTTATCATTTATTTTCTAACTATGTAATAATGGTGAGTCAACCTATCTCATTCATAAAAAAAAATTTGATACATAATTGGTGTAGAGATTTTTTTTTTTATTAAAGTAATTTATGTATAGAGATTTGGCCCTCCATATAACAAATAAGCTTATATAAAAAACTAAAGAGAAGAAAAGGTTAATGGTCTAGTAATAGTGGTAATATTCAGATAGTGACAGTTTCTTGTGGTAATATTCAGATAGTGACATGCTTTTAGCATCCTTATTACTGATAAATGAAATTTTATTGAAAACATCATTTTTATGACTCTTAAGTCTCAATGCCAAGATCAGTATCTATTAGTTTCTTTATATATATATATATATATATAATTAATTGCTTATACTTGTATTCTTCAAATTTTGATAAAGGAACACAATCATGAATAAGAGTTGGATGAATGTGAATATGATGGATGCAAGGTATATACAATGGGTTATAGATTTTATGAAATTTGCATGTAAAAACATTCCTAAGGAGGTAATAGAAATCGTATGCTCGTATAAGAAGTGTCATAATGTCAAGTTGATGAAAATAGATTTGATAAAAGAACATCTTATACATGTGTATGGGTTTAATCCAAGTTACACTCGCTAGATTTTCCATGGAGAAGAATTAGGTTCTACAAACTGTGGTACTGAAAACTATAGTCAAGTTGACTCAGATCAACATGAGAAACAAGAAACGTTACACAATGCATTTAGCATTTTTCCGCAATCCATTTCCCATGGTATGGAACCTAACGATCCACCTGATGGTGGCCTACAAAGTCCAAATGAAGAAACAAATAACTTTTTTAAGTTATTGAAGGAAGTTGAGTGAGAGTTGTACCTTGGGTGTCAGAAGTTCTCATTGCTCTCATTTGTGTTGCGATAAATGCACATTAAGTTCCTTAGTATGTGGACTAACATGTCTTTTACTATGTTGCTAAAGCTATTGAAGGATGCCTTACCCAAGGGTGAAATTTTGAGCAAAAAACTATTAGGCTCTTTGGGCCTTGATTATTATAAGATCCATACTTGCCTTAGAGATTGTATGTTCTATTGGAGAGAGAACGATGAATGTGTTGAATACAAAGTTTGTCAAAATCCTAAATACAAACAATTTGAAGAACAAGCAAATGAACCTAGCAAAGGCATGGGAAAATTTTCACAAAAGTTTGTAAGGTATTTTCCATTGATACCTATGTTCAAAAGATTATTCATGTCATCTAAGATTGCTTCATTAATGAGATGGCATGTTGAGAACCCGCTTGATTCTGGTGCATGGCAACATTCATTTTGACAAGTAGTATCTTGATTTTTCTTGAGACCCTCGTAATGTCAGGCATGGTTTAGCAACTGATGGTTTCAATCCATTGCATACAATGAATATTTCCCATAGCACTTGGCCTCACTACTAAAAAAAAACACTTTTTGCGACCGCTATAAACCATCGCATATAATAAAAAATAGTCGCAAAAGACTTTTTGCGACGGCCCACGCGACGGCAAATAGGGGTTGCGAATGTGGGGGTGGCAAATACTTGTTGCGACAGCAAAGCAACGGTCGCAAATTAATTGCGACCGCCTAAACTACTTATGGCGACCACAATTTTGCTGTCACAAAAAACAAAGAAAAACACTAACATGATTTTTGGCGACCATCTTGTTACCGTCGCAAAAAAAGAAAAATAAAAAATATATATAAATAAATAAATAAAAGTGTAGCGTTAAGTATTCTAGAAATAGCAATGACAAGAATTTAGACATTATAGCATTATAGTTTAATTGAACATTCCATTTGAGTCTCAAAATTTGAGCCTCAAAATTTGAGCCATATGTGAAAGTTATTACAACTAAAAACTTGGGAAAAGTTCTTTTATGAAAAAAATACAATCCAGAACTGGCCAATCTTCTCATCAATTTTCTTGCTCGGGTGTTTCTCCACTCTATCGATGAACGGCCAATCTTCTCATCAATAATCTTTTCAAGTTCCATATCACCACATTGCACCTATGTAACAAAAATTTCAGGCATTAATGATAAAAATTATATACTACCAAAATAAAAATTATCTTTGAATATCTTTGCCCAAATCACAATTTGAATGCCAAAATTTTGGCCTTTGTATGAAGCCACCCTCACAATTTTTAAATCTGTTACTATTTTGGATGATACTCTGCATACTCACCAGTCAAGAGCATGCACAAATTACACATGTCATCCCAGCAATAGACATGATATACACTGACTAGCAGTTACTGATTCCAATTGACTAATCATACTAGTTTGATTAGCCAATCTAACAGAAGATAACAAGAAAACTAGCATTGATTAATTTGGTGGCTAACTAGAAATCAATTCAACAATTACCCCATAAGGCCTTATTGAGAAATACAATCAAGGATTCTATTATATACATGTACAGTACATGTTTTCCATCATGCCTAAAAGTCTATTCTTAACAATCCTGCTATTATATTGCTCTGTAAAAGCCTACTTCAATATACTTATTAAATTAGGTAATAAGGCACTTTGAACTTGGCAAAAATCTCTTTCCAAAACAAATTCAGTAGCAGAACATTGTTGAATGATTTGATTTAGGCAACCTTTTAACATTTGGTCATTATGCATTTATCACAAATTACCTAGATGTAAGGGGACAGTCAAATCATCCAGATGGCAGCGAACTTCTTATAATCATTGTAGAATAATTGCGTTGATTCGCTTTTTATGACACAGAGGAACCTTTAAGCCATGTGTCGGAGGATATTATGATTGCAATAAGCTTGGCATATTCGGACAACCACAATTCTCACCAACTCCAATTGGATGAATCTACTAGCACTCTAATGACTAACAGAGAAAACAAATGTATAAATGAAAACAACAATAAAGTTAACCACACATATCAACTGGCAAAACCAGACCATATCGAATTGAAATCAACTCATTATAGATCAAATTCCCACTTAAACCTAGAAATGAGTAGCAACTTCATCAGTAAAGGTTTTGACTAGACCAAGCACTATATTCACAAATTTCAATTAAGAAAACATGTTTGATAGTATATAAAATTCTTTTTCAGTTAGTTATTCTGAACTGCACACCTCAAATCCACTCACATTTCCCACAATGCAACTCAGAAAACAAAAAATCATCAGCAATTCACTTAAATCTAGGGAAAAAGTATCTAAAAAAAAGGAAAATCATAACAATACCTCTTGGGTGCCTTTATCAATCTATACGATTCTCCGATGTTCTAGAAGCAGGTGAATCCATTTACGTCTACATCGATATATATATATATATATATATTGATCCCTTTCCCTTTTCATTTCTGAATCTGAATATGCCCTAATAAAATCTGTCAACTAGCATGGCTTAGATTTGAAATTACGATTCTAAAAGCATATTTATCTATACAATGAAGGTTTTTTTACGGCTTTTGTCATTGGGTAGGAGTGCCCAAATCATTCTTTATTGTTTTGATGTGTAGTTTTTTATTTTTATTTTTATTTTTTTTAAAAAGGGTGTACACTTCATGCATGCACCATGAGATATGGTCTATGCACTACCTAGTTCAAAAAAAAAAAAACTAGAAAAAGAATTAATCAATGATTGTTGGTTGGAAGTGATGTATGCTAGTAATATCCATCATCCAGTCATACACAGCAAATATCATAAATACATGCAGGAATATAAGGGGAAAGAGAAGTATTCCAAAGAGATATTCAGAGAAATAGGCAACCTAATTCATAATAAGCTGAAAAATTCATTAAAAACAGAGAAATGCATACCTATTCATTTTCGTTTGAAGCTTGTTGCCCACTAGATGCATCTGACACCTACAATATATTAGGCCACATGTTACACCAATGCAGAAGGAAGTTACAGAAGAAAAGAAATAAGTTCCATGTATAAAAAGTTACTCTACTTACAAAATACCAGCCACTACAAGTAGATCACAAATTTTTCAACAACAAAAAATTACTGAACAATGTTAAGGCAATGATCTGATTCTGAATGTGAGAAAACCATAAATTCAAATTAGAATTCTAGAATTTGATCCACAAACAATGAAGACAAGCAGACAATGAAATTCATATCTAGGTTGCAACACTAGAGAAATTAATTCTAAATGTAGAAAAAATAATTTCAGATTCAAACTCTCTGGATCATAATTCAAATTTGAGTTACAAGAAAATTCAATGATAAATTACTGAACAAAACAGAATCCAGATTCAGCGTACT